GCAAGCAGGAGCAGGACCTTCTGCACAAGACGGCCCGTATCTTCATGTGAGTGGAGTGGTTTGGCAACAGGCCCCGGCCAGTCAGCCAAGACTCACACACAGGCCACTCAGTAACTGCACAGTCTGATTTCCTGTCACTTCATTCATGCCAGCTGTGCCCTAGAGCTGGTGTCCCCGGCTCCCCAGTCCCATCCCTGCCCTCAGTCGTGACAGGAGATCTGACCAGTCATTTGGCAGTGACAGCACTGCACGAGCAGGGATCTGGTGGTAATGGGAGACAGAGCACACGTGGCGGGGAGAGCCAATCCCAGAAGTGGCTGCAAGGCTGGGAGCTGTGGAACAAGTGGACCTCACCAGGAGGCCCCAGGTGGGGCTGAGGGGAGCAGATGTCCAGGAGCTGGTCACAGGTGGCTGCAGCTGAAACGGAAGAGCTGCCTGTCAGGCATCGCGGGGCCCATGCGGGCATTTCAGCCACAGCATGGGAGCAGGGACAGTCTGATTTGGAAGAGTTTGAGGGAAAGCTTACTAGAGGCGGGGAAGCAGTTACGGCATCTAAGAGACAAAGTCTGTGCCAAATTCAGACCTGAGGAAACAAAGGCCTAAGGTCCTGTGGCCCCAAATACACAGCAGAGAGGTTGGGGACCCTCAGTGCCAGCTGCTTGGTCTGTGTCCAGTTTTTCCAGTGTCCCGCTTATCCCTACTGTATCCCCAGTCGTTCACCATCACCATCATTTGTTTGTTTTGGGGTTTTAGGGTTTTCTTTTTGTGTGTTGTTTTGTTTTGAGACAGGGTCTTAAACTGGCAGCAACCCTCCTGCCTCAGCCACCTAAGTGCTGGGATCACAGGTGTGCACTACCACACCTAATCCACACAGGGTTCTGAACACACAAACCCTTAGTCTCATTTTGCAGAGGTCCTATAGGCCACTGTCCCAGAAGAAATGGATACTGAGGGCAGGCATGGATGTCTGGCCCATGGTACAGCCCAGCCTAGGGAATTGTTCCCTCCTTTGCCGCATGGCCTCAGCACATTGAGGGCACCTGGGTCATTGCCCTGTTCTTCCAAGGTCTCTGGTTTCCTCCCTGTGTCATGGGGTTCAGGGTTGGCCCTGCTTGGCAGAGAACTGGGGAGGGAACATTCTGACTAGTGCTGGCCTCGCCCACAGGCACCACCTGTGCCGTGCCCGACACTACTGCCAGGACGTGGGCCACTGCTCAGCAGCACTGCACGCCCAGGTGGAGCGGTTGGTGCGGCAGGCTAGCCAGCAGGCTGACTCCTCCGTCGCCCTCTACTACTTCAACGCCTCCCTCTACCTGCTGCGCGTCTTGAAGGGCAATGCCACCAAGAAGCACATGCTGGAAAGCCAACAGTGGCAGGGAGCTGGTGCCAGCCTTGGCCCTGAGGAAACAGGTCCTCAGGTGAGTGGGGCCTGGTCCCTGAGGGCTGCAGGAGGAGCCAAGCCCCAGCCCTTGGCCTTCAGTAGGCAGCCTGGGCCTGCCCCAAGTCTCACCCATCTCTCACCTGGCCTAGACCTCCAGCTGCCTGGACTTGGACCTTGTGACCCCACTTTACTTGGCAGCGCTGAGCTCCTTCCTGACCAAGCGCAACAGTCCCCTCACTGTCCCCATGTTCCTCAGCCTCTTCTCCCGGTACCCGGTGAGTGTCCAGGCCACCCCTGTCTCTCTGGCAACCCCTGCCCATCCCAGGCCCTCTCTCATAGCCCATTATTTCCTCTGCTCCCAGGTAATCTGTAAGAATCTGCTCCCTGTCGTGGTCCAACACATGGCTGGCTCGACCCGGGCCCGCCAGCAGGTAAGGGCTTTCCCAGATCCCCCTGAGCTTGCCTGGATCATCCACATTATCCACTTCTGTCGGGGTGTGTGAGGCCCAGGAGCCATGCCCTGCCAGCCTTGGCTGTGGGCTGTGCTGTGGCCCTTCTCCATAGGTACAAGATCTGTAGAGACAGGGCCGGCTTTGCTCTTATCGCCGCCGCCACCTTCCTGGCCTGAGCCCTGCACTTCCTGTGAGACCTGTCCTCTTGCCTGTACAAGAGGATGCCTAGCATTGCCCAGTCAGGTGCCCTGGCTGTTGGGCCACAAGAGGGTGATGGTGCTAACCTAGTAAGAGGGCCTGAAACTGTTTCAACCGGAGGTCCCTATCCATTTAGGACCCCAGCCTTTTCCCAGGCCTCAGTGTCCGCATCTACATCATGAGACAGGAGTGGACTATCACAGGACCTGAGACAGCAGGCACCCTTCATGCACCACCTAGAGTTGCCAGAGCTTAGTGAGTCTCTGGCGGTCCCTGAGCCTCTGCCTACAGCACCTAGGTTCCTGGTAACCACATTCTTCGCTCCCCAGACCCAGGCCTGCTTGCTGCTCCAGAAGACCTTGTCTGCACGGGAGCTGAGGATGTGTTTTGAGGACCCTGAGTGGGAGCAGCTGATTGGCCAGATCCTGACAAAGGTCACTGAGGTAAGATCCTGGAGCTCCCTCCTCCCAGCTATCAGGAAAGGTTGTTTGAACCTCCCTCTCGAGTGGCACTGGGATGGTACCAGGGACGGGGTCCTGCTCTGGACTTTAGTCTCAGTCTAGGAAACAGGATCCTCCAGCAGGTACTCCCCTCATACCTCAGCCTGGCCCCTCCTCCCTAGAACCTGTGCACACTGGGGGAGGCGCAGAGCCGGTCGGAGCACCAGAAGCAGCTGTCCTCCCTGGAGCTGCTCAACACTCTGTTCAAGATGATCAATCATGAGGTGAGCCAGCAGCCAGCAGAGCTGGGCCTGGGCAGGAGCAGGCAGCCCTTGGTCGGGGGAGCAGATGGCTGGAATAATCAGGGCTCCTGGGACAGGAAGGTTCTGGGTCCAGTGTGAGGACTCCAAGCTGTGTTTACATGGTTATCTTACCACTGTATGGATGAATGCAAGTGATTTGGGTGGCAGAGTGTCACCTGTGCCTGACAGGAGGGTGAGAAGGTTCCAGGAGGAGAGCTGAGAAGGGGCTGGGAGCGCAGGAGATGGAGAAGATTCCGAGAAAGGAGTCCAGGTGTCCAAGCCTGAAGCAAGAGGACAGGGAGGGGCAGTGACAAGTTGGGGCCCAGTAGGGTGCAGTATGCTCACAGGCATCAGGGTAGAAGGCCAGGAGGTAGCTGGAGATGGGTATCTGGGTCCCCGAGCCTGGTCGGAATTCAGGATTTAGGAGGCTTAGCACAGGCAGGCCTTGGTCAGAGCCCAAATGGGGGTGAGCTTGGCCTTTGAGCACTGCTAAGGGGAAAGGCAGGTGGCAGCAAAGGAAGGGACAAAACTGAGCAACTGCCATTGGGGTGGGAAGGAAATCGGGGGTATTGGCCTAGAAGCCAGTGGGTTTCAGAAATCACCTATTCAGTGTGCCATCCTGGGGGAGGAGGGGGTGGGGAGGAGTTTTATAACCTGAGAGGACTGAGTGACTAGAGATGGGCAGGCAGAACCATGGCAGGAGAGGGGTTGGCGGGGGGGAGGGGAGTAAAAAAGCAGAGCGCGTCCTCCGGCTGTAGGAAGAGGGGTGAACACGGGGGTGGGGACTCGTTTCCTCCCAGAGAAGAGGCTGGAGGGAGGGAAGAAAAAAAACAGCGCGCCCTCCGGCTGTAGGAAGAGGGGTGAACACGGGGGTGGGGACTCGTTTCCTCCCAGAGAAGAGGCTGGTGACTTGACAGGCAGGGGTGGCTGAGGGCTCGTGAGCAGGCTGGGGCCAAGGAGAGGCCGTGCCTCCTGTTCCCAGAGAAGCTCCACGCCTCACCTCTTCTACAGAAGCTGACTGTGGACCTGACCACTCTCCTGGGTGTGCTGCAGGGCCAGCAGCAGAGCCTGCAGCAGAGTCTACAGCAGGGGGAGCGCTCCGCTGGCTCCAGCCGCCTCTGCGACCTATACTGGCAGGCCATGAAGATGCTCGGAGTCCAGTAGGTTCTGCCAGGGAAGACCCACACCTCAGGCGGGGGCTGGAAAGAACCCCAACCCGTGCTGCACATGTTGTGGTGTCCTTGCCGGGGTGTGGGAGCTTTGGGCAGCTTGGGTCCACAGGACCTCGAGGTGGAGCTGGCTCTGCTAGATGCTTTCTTACCCTGCTCACTTCTAGGCGCCCCAAGATGGAGAAGAAGAACACCAAAGCAGTCCCCAATGCCTCTGAGAGCCCCATTAGCATGAAGCGGAAGAAAAAGGGGTTCTTGCCGGAGACCAAAAAGCGTAAGAAACGCAAGTTGGAGGAGGCCACACCAGAGGAAGGGGCCACGCCAAAGGGAGCCACTCCAGCCACTGGTGACGACCAGCCCCCCAGCACAGGCAAGAAGAAGAGGAAAAGGATGAAGACCAAGGTCCTAGCCCAGTCCCAAGTGGATGGGACCCCTGCGACCCCTGCCGCCAAGAGTCCAGGCCCTGACACCCTCACCTTGAGCCCCAGCACCCCTGCCAAGACTCCAAAGCTACAGAAGAAGAGCAGAAAGCTGTCGCAGGTGAATGGAAACACCCCAGCGACCCCCACAGAGCCTTCAGGCGAAAAACAGCATCTGAAATCTCTTTCCAAAAAGGGAATCTCAGGCAAGTCCCCACAGTCTGCCCTGTCACGGAAGAGGGCAAGGCTGTCTTTGGTCAGGAGCCCCAGCCTATTTCAGAGTGGGGCCAAGAAAAAGAAGTTGCTGCGGAAGAAGCTAAAAACACCCTGAGTGCTGGTGTCCATCCATCCATGTCCCCCACGTCCCCTCGGTCCCAATCCAGCAGCCCTTGACAGTCCTGTTTTTTCACCACAATTTTAATAAATGAGCCTAAGGCAGCAGCTTCCGGTTCCAAGGAGTGGGTCTGTTGCCAGCCTGGCCCCCAGCACAGGTGTCACCACCCCTCCCTAAAGTCACTGCAGGAACCACTGAGACATGATTTAAATAGGTTTATTTCTTCATTTACAAGAGGAATATATTTGGCTTCTCTCTTAAGATTCTGAGATTCACAATCAGCAGCTCTAAAAAATAAAGGAGCAGTTTGGCTTCCGGAAGGAAGAGGAGGCAACACTTGGACCTAGTTCTTGTACAACAAGAAAACATTGCTGGGGCCCCAGGTGAGGTTGGGGTGGAGGCCAGGCTGGTCTCTGGGGTTACCACCCCTTGGTCCAGCCCCGAGGGTGCCCCAGAGCTTGGGAGGGTGGTGTTCCACTAGCTAACACAGCACTGAAGCCACAGCCGTAACTAAGGGGCAAGGGGAGCAGTGTCCAGCTGGCTTTCAGCATCTGCGGGGAGTGGGGCGGTGAGCATAAGCTCCACTAAGGGGCTGCTGTGCTGAAGGGAGTTGGGGTGCAGACAGCAGGGTGATCAGAAAAGGCTCTGCCCTCCCAGAATCAACTGAGGGAGTCACTGAAGTGTGTCTGAGCCACAGCAGCTCGTGGCCAGGGGACCAGTCTCTCCCATCCAGTTCATCCCCTAGAGCAGGAGTCTTGGTACAGCTGCACCCTCCAGCGGCTACTGCCCCCTGGATTCTGGGAATGTTTCCCTGGGTCCTGCCCATCCTGAGGGAGCGAGTGGGCTCCTGGCTTCTGGGAAGTCAGCAGAGGTGCTCTAGAGCCCACAAGGAGCCCTGCAGAGGTGGACTGGTCGGTGGTTCCCAACATCTCGAACCTAGGGCAGGGGCAGAGTGGCTGCCACCAGGGCCTTCACCCCTGGTGATGCCAGCTCCCTGTGGAGGGGTGGTCCCAACCTGGGAAATCTAGGTGAAGAGCCAGCCCAAGGCAGCAGAGACAAGTGTCCTCCAGGGTGACCAAACAGGCCAGGAAGCACCCTATGACAAGTGCCCCACCCCATGTGCCAGCCCGAGTCCAGTGACCCTAAAGTCAGAAGCCCAGCTAAGGGTCAGTGCTCCCTGTGCTCTCAAGAGCCTCAGAACTTGAATGGTAGCCGTGTGGCTGGGGCCACCTCTTCTCCGTACAGTCCAGTATCTACTGGGTCTTCAAAGCTGTATGTAGTGTCTTGCCCAACACGCTGTGTGGGAAAGTCCAGCTCCCTCGCCTCACGACCTAGGGTGGTCAGGGGCTTGCCCAAAACCACATAAGCCGGTGGCAGACCAAGGTCTCCTGATACGCCCACTTGGGGGTGCCTTCTCCCTGGGGCACAGGAGCCCTGCGGCCCAAACGCTGGGCTGAGAATCTGTCCGACCTTGTGACCCCAACACACACAGTGTTCCAGGTTAACAGAGGATGTGGCTTCTTCGAGCCAGGTCCACTCAGCAGTCCTGGACCAGAGAGGGTGAGTGCCCAGTTGTGGGTCACGCAGGAAGCTCTGGGACAGCTCTGCAGGTCTGGGATGCTGTAGGATGCGTCCCAGACTAAGTGAGAGCAAGGATTCTTCATTGTCCCAGTGGTACCTAACGGGGAGGAAGGTGTGGTTTCAGATTTGGGTTTTGGGGGGCCCATCCCAAGCCTTCCCTCCTCACTTTCACTGCTGTTGGGGAATCAGACTTGCTCTGGGCTCTGGAACCATAACCCTGGGCTTCCCCTGCTGGGAAGCTGCAGCCTCCAGAGGCCAGGCCCTGAGGAAGGTCACTGTAGGACTTGGGCCCTGGCACCTTTAGGAGGATTTGGGAGGACAGAATCCCAACAGAGCGGGGAGTTCCTGACCAGAACCAACCTTGACCCATGCCCTCAGCCCTTTCAAGGAAGCAAGCATCTGATTTACTGGAAGGAGGCCACTCCCCCTCACATAGCTCCCTCACTGGATTTGGACAGTATTTCAGCAGTCAGGGTTGGTGGGATGAGCTCAGGCTATAGGCAACTGGCCAGGAGTCTCCCTGTCCCTTAAAACTGCTGTATTGGGCTGAAGATTTAGCTCAGGGAAGCTCAAGGTCCCGAGTTCGATCCCTGATCCTGGGGAGAAAAAAAAAAAAAAACTGCTGTCCCCCACCCCAACCCCTGTCAGCTGAACTCACCGCCTCAGACCTTCATAGATGGGGGCGGCAACACCAGCTGGTTCACCCTGAGGGAGAGACAGGCGGGGGTCAGGGTGGCACGTCAGTGGGGGCCGGCCCCGGGCACACTTCTGGCACATCGCATCACTGGGGCTGGCTGACCGGAGGTGCTGGGCAGGGACCTCGTCAGCCCCAGGGGGAGGTGGGAGAGCCCAGAGGTGGGAGAGAAGAGAGAGGAATAAAAAGAAAAGGAGAAAGAAGTCAGATGAGAAGAAAAGGAGGTATAAGAGGGTCTCAGCTCTGAAAACTTACAGCTCCAGAGAAAAACCCACATCCTATGCAACAGGCTTGGCAGCTTCCACCAAGGGCCGTAGGTGGGGCGTGGGAGGCCTGAGGCCCAGGCATGGTGGGGCTGGCTCCTGGATCCCAGCAGCAGGCCACCCACCCCTCACCCAGGGTGCAGAGGAGGCCACTATAATCCCTCCCCCAGACACTGCACAGCAGGGACACGGCAGGGCTGTCACAGCCAAGGTAGCCGGCCCACCCCCTGCCCACTCACTGCTGCTCAGCCTTGGCACGGTCACTGAGGAAGAAGAGAGCGGTGGTGAGGAAGAACATGCCACCCAGGACCACGATGAAGGGGCAGAGCATGAGGGCATAGCCCAGGCTCAGGAACTCCCAGAGCGGGGAGTCCTTGGTGCTCTGGCGAATCAGGTCCGAGATCTGCGAGGGTTGGGAGGTTGGGATCAGGGCAGTTCACCTCCTGAAGCCCCTAACCACCCCAGGCCAGCCCCCAAACCCCACTATCCCCAGCCACTCACAAAGCCGATGAGGTAGGGGCTCCCTGCGTCACCCAGCAGGTGAGAAGTGAAGCTCTGCAAGGCCACAGCAGTGGCCCGTCGGGTGGGGATGACCACATACTGTGGGACAGATCGGCAAGTCAGTGGCCAGAGCAGCCAGGCCCACCCATCTGGCCCACGCCTGCGGCTGTGGCACTTCTGAAGACCCTCCAGCCTCATCAAGCTCCTGCCCTGGTGTCCACCGCCTCTCTGAATACTGTGGCTGCTCCTCCCATCTACCCCTCCACTGACAGATCACTGCCCCCACCTGCAATGACCACAGGCCCAGACCCCTCCGACTTGCCCCCCACTTCCACCTCAGAGGCAGAGATCTTTGTCTTCTCCCCAATCACATCCAGGTGGTAGTGGTTGGCACAGACCTAAAGTTACAGCTTAGTGCACCTTCAGGTGGCCAAACTGTCAAGAATAGCAGAGCTGCTTCCTCCTCACCTGCCCCCGAGATCAGGCTTCCTTCAGCTCTGTACTTGGTTCTTGGGGAACAGCCAGGTGTCATGGTCAGGGGACACTGAGGCCTAGGGAGGTGCCAGCCCCCAGGGGTCAAATGGAGTAGTGCCACTCTGGAACTGCAAGCCTGGCCTCTTGCCCTTCCACAAGTTAAATACCTCTCTTGGCTCCCCCTTCATGAGGACCAAGCACGGCAGAGGTTGGCCTGGGAACAGGGGCTGGTGTGAAGTAGGATCCTTGCCTGGAAGATCTCATTTGAACAGATGCCCCACCCCCGCCAGCACCAAATGCCAAGAACTCATGGGCCCCAGACTACCCACCCACATTAAAACTGAGCAAGCCTTGACCAGCTCCAAGTCAGGCAGGAGGGCCTGGGCAGAGCAGCCGAATGGGCAGCACCGGTCCAGTGGGTGTCCCTGGGCACCCCTGCCCCTGAACTCCAGCTACTTTCTCTGTCCAGGGCACCTGCCTCCATGGACAGTGTGCAGGCAGTAGCCCCACAGGGTACCCTGTCAGAGACGAGGAAATGGGAAGAGGCCTGGATCTGATGAGACTGCATGGCCCCATTTCCAGTAATAACTAGTCACTTAGCACTTAATAAACTGGGACATGATTTCCCTGGGACCCAGACCCTGTCAGCAGCTGTCAGGGGTTGTCCTTGGGGATGGACACAGGGAAAGGCCTGCTGCCTGGTGCCAAGGGTACTTGATTCAGACACTCAGTCCCCCATCACCCTGGGGCTGTTATGGTGACCCAGCCTACCCTGCCACCACCCAGCTCCATGCTGAGGCCCCAAGCTGAGTCAGAACCCACCACCTCCACCCTGCCCCTGGACTGGGACAGAGACCACCAGGGAGAAGCAGATGCTCAAGGAAGCTTGGGCAGACAAGGCAGACTTCCTGAAACAGAGGCCCTGGCTGGGGCCCGGTGCCTGGCTAAACTCTGACCTCCTGGGCTGACCCCTGACCTCAAGCATCCCGAGGGTCTCTCTTCCCCTGCCCTTGCCCCTCCAGACATCCTCCCACTGCCAGTTCTCTGCACTCTGTGCTCCCAGGCCTCTCCTAACCCTGGCCCAAAGGATCCCCAAGGACAGAACAAGGGTCGTGCCCACCCCCTGCTCCCTCCCACCCCCCACTGAGTGCCACAAGCCAAGAAGTCCACTGCCTCCTCATGGTTCCACCCAGACTGCTCCCATACCGCCTGGGGACACAGGCCCCTGCCCGCTGTTCAGATGGCCCTTTGTCCCTGTACGGCTGGTCTGCAGCCCATTGTTGGCCCTGTGAAGACGGCCTCTGTCTGGCTGGTCCAGCCGCAGGCACCCGGGAAGGCACGCCTGGGACCCAGGCTGAGCCGGGAAGGCAGAGCCCACAGACGCTTGGCCCCTGGGGGGAGGAGTGCTGGCAGGCAACACTACCTCAGTGCCAGCCTGGCACTGCCAGGCTCCCCGCACAAACCTGAGCCTTGAGACAATCCCCTCCCCAAACTGCCCCATACCCCACCTCATCTTCCTGCTCCGTCCTGTTTGCAGACCCTGATGCAGACCCCAAAACCTCCTTGCCTCTGGGGTCACCTTCCCGAAGGCCTACTGCCAGCTCTCCCACCCATGTCTTACTGCTCCTGTGAGGTCAAAAGGCCTAGGTCAGCAAAAGGTGACCTCAGCCTGCCTGGCTCACCATGAGGATGTCCGCAGTGATGGCCCAGTTAGAAAACAGCAGTGTCTCCCCGACAAAGATGCAGACCTGCCCAGGAGAAAAGAGAGCAGCCATCAGGGGCCTCCCTGCCCACCAGCAGCCTCAGCTGCCCCTGTACGCTGGCTGCTGGCAGGGAACCCCCAAAGCCTCCTATCCCTCCCTGAGGGCCCCACCTCCTCTCAATCAGGCTCATGAGGAATTGGTGGATTGCCCAGAGAATTCAAACCATGCCCACAGCCCCAAGGGATACCCAGACCCTGGACAGGTGGTGGACGGAGCAGCAACAAGCAGCCACGGAACAGGAGCCTCCCCAAGAGGACGGAGGGCCCAGCTAGCCAGACTTCATTTCTAGACCAGCTCCAACTTCCCTCCCTGACCCCTGTGCCCTGCCCCACTACACTCACATAGGCACCCACGATGCTGCTCTTGGCGGCCACGAAGATGAGGCAGATGAAGATGGCGGAACCCAGCATGCCCACAGCACACACCAGTGGGTCGGCCCTCTGGGTCCGCAAGCGACACCAGCGTGTAGCGCCTGCACCCGTGACCACACCCAGAAAGCCCGTGAAGCAGGTGATAGCCCCAAAGATGAGGCTGTGGGGAAAGAAGACATTGGGTACAGGATAGGGGGGTCCACAGCTGGAGCAGAGGTGTTCCCATGTCCAGTGTCCCTCGCCAGCCGCCCCGGGTCCACCAGCCGGGCTCACCTGTCCTTGGCCCCACAGGGTGGACTATTGCAGGTCTCTGCCGTCTTCTGTACAACTTGGGCGCGGTGCAGGTAGAGTGGGATCCACATGCCCAGGGCCCCCGTGGCGAAGGACACAGCCGACGTGGCCAGGGAGGAGAAGACATAGCTGCGGCTGGGGAGAGGCCAGGGCAGCAACACTGAGCTGGGGCCGGGACCCCCTTTGGCTGCAACAAACAGCCCACATCAGGGCCCGGGAGGCTGCCTCTTCTCCCTCAGCCTGCTGCTCTATGCCATTCCCTGAAAGAGCTGAGATGCCTCCCTCACAGCCTCCAGGACAGGTTCAGGCTGCGGGAACCATAAACTCTAGCGGCCAGAACCCCAAGCAGCAGAGCTGGCAAGTGATGGGCTGAAGGTGTGAAAAGGCCCTTCATGTGGCAGCCCTCCTCTTCCCAACAGACCCCTCCAAGTACTCACTTTCGGATCAAGGCCTTCATGTCTCGGAGCCACGAGCTCCGTGCCTTGAGCTGCCCCCCAAGTTGGTCGGCATGGCCTCTCTTAGTGGCTGGGACCAGGATGAGGATGAGCGTTCCTGTGATCATGCCCAAGACAGGGGACACCTGGCAGAGGATGAGGCGTGAAGTTAGGACGCAGCCCCGCCAGCTTCGTCTTCGCTGTACTAGTGGGTCAGTCAGGCTGTACCTTCCCTGGGCTCTGGGCCAAGTGTGGCCAACCCTCCTGATGGGCAAAGCCACTGGGGGCGAGGGGCTCAGAGTGGACTCTTCAGACCAGGGAAGGGCAGGAAAAACGGTGCAAGGAAGCCTGACAGACTGAAGGAAAGGAGGGAGTGATAGATGAGTGGGCAATGGATGGACAGACACAGGAAGAGAGAGAGGTGACTGAGCAGAGGATACATGGAAAGGCAGCAGGCATATGGAAGGAAATGCATGGACAGATGGATAATGAAAAGACAGATAGACAGACACATGGAATGACGACTTGGAGGGAGGAGAGAATTGCTGGGGGAGACCAGCCCAGACAGACCCACACTCTGAGGCAGGGAATGTTCCCCAGGTGAGTCTCACTCTGTGGCACTGTGGGAAGGGAATGGCCAGGCATGAAGCCTCCTGCTCATAAATCAGGTAGACTCCTCTGGGAGGAGCCCATGCGGCTCCTTTGCATCTGTTGCCAGCCTCCTGTCAGGAAGAGAATCTGCAAGGTCCCAGGACTCTGCACACGGGAGGGGACCTCTTGACAGCCTGGATTCCAACACACCAGCCCTTCCGCCACCCTCTGAGAAAAAAAAGTGTGTCCCCAACCCCACCCCAGGCCCGGGAGCCTTTAGCGGGTTCCTCTCCATGCCACGGCTCTCCTCTCCGTCCCCACCAAGAAATTCCACGGAGGCTGCTTCCTTCCTGCTTTTGAGGAAAAAACACTTTGTCTTAAGCTTCCGCTCCTCTGGGAGATGGGGATCTCTGTTTCCTCCGATTGCACTATCCTGGAGCCTTGGTAACTGTCCCCCAAGCCTCTGGCAGGACAGGAAATGGCTCCACGGGGCCCTACACTGAGGTCCTGTCCCAGCCTTGCCCTAGCACAGAGCCAGGGCTAGAAGCAGGAAGCTCTGTCGTAGACCTGGAATTTCCTGCCATGGGAAGAGAATCCTTCATCCTCCCAACCTGGGGCTCCCAAGAGAGGTTCCGAGCCTCAGACTGAGGCCCTGAGGCAGGGGGGTTCTGACTCCCCTGACAGCCCAGTGTAAAAGAATCTAGGTCAAGACTTCATAGCTCAGGCTGGTGAGGAGAGCCCCTGGATGGCAAGACTCGTGCCCTAGCATCTCTAGTAGTGCTGGGGCAAGGGCTGGATTGAGGATGACCTCATGCCAGGGGACCTAGGCCTTACCCGAAGGGCCCAGTGCCAGTCTCCAGCAGCCTGCTTCACACTGGAGCCAGTGATGTAGCCCAGGCCACTGTAGAGAAGACAAACACATGTCAGGCTGAGCAGGACAGGGGCTGGGACAGGAAATGCTCACTGGAGTATGAGGCAGGCTGCACACCTCAGCACCCAGCTTGCTGATCAGGCCTGCTCCAAGGCTGACTGACATGGCTAACAGAGGAAATGCTTGAAAGTCCAGGGGAACCTAGCCCAGATCCTCACCCAAACCCTGGCATCTCTGCTCTCACCTGCCCAGCGGGATGGCAAAGTAGAAGACAGACAGCATGAGCGTGCGCGTGTTCTTGGTGAAGAGGTCGCCGATGATGGTGGGTGCGATGGTGGAGTAGCTGGCCTCACCGATCCCCACTAGACCCCGGGACAGGACCAGGAGCCAGAAGTACTGTGGGGAGGGTAGAGGATGCTAGGGCATGGCGCTGCTCCTTGGCCCACTCATCCTTGCTCCCATTCTGATCCCTCCCCTTCAGGGAAGGGGATGGAGCCCAAGCCTCACCTCAGCAGTGACCAAATCCCCAGGCTACGCTGGGCCTCGGTGCTCCCCTTTGTATGGCAGGTCTGACTAGGACTGGACTTTCCCAGCTCGAGAGCTGTTTGGCCTAGACAGGCCCCTTGGTCCCTATAAGCTGAAACTCAGGAGAGTTCCTCCCTGGTCCTGGCCCCATCTCAGGAGCCCCTTCCCCCCAGCAGGGTACTGGGCCAATCCTGGCAGCACGGAGGTCCCAGTGTAAGTGGGGAGTGAGCAGGGCAGCCCACTGGGCTCAGAGCCCCTCCCACGCACACATCAAAGGGCAAAGCCAGCAGAGCAAGGAAGGGCGGGGCCCTGCCAGCTGCTGGTGGTCCTACCCTTTGATGTGGACCTGCCCCCTCAGTCACCCCGGCTGCCCAGGGTCTGAGAACCCAGCCTGGTCATCATTCTCTGACCCCACCCTGGCCACCCATCTGGCCAGCAATGCCCACATCCATCCCTCCCTCGGGGGTCCCTGATTCCCTCTCCAACTGCCCAGATGGCTCTAGCTAGTGCTGGCTGTGCACCTGACCCCTTTCTCTCTCTCCTGGGCTGTCTTTCTTTAGCTCCTTGCTTGTTTCTTTTCCTGGGAATCACCTGCCCACAGCCCTTGCCTATTTTTCTGGTGGGTTGCCTGCCCTTTTTTTTTTTTTTTTTTTTTTTTTTTTTTTTTTTTTTTTTTTTTTTTTTT